CTTTAATCTAGGAAGCAGACAGAAGATCTGGCTGAGATGAAGGGCAGGGTCAGTGGGGCACCCAACAGGGCCAAGAGATTTCATCAGCTGTAGGATTCAGTAGCAAGTGCTAGCAGGACACTCGTTGACTGCACCCAATGAGGGGCATGATCTCAGAGGTCAGTGAGGGGCCAGCACAGGGCCCTACCTCACCCCCTCATGCTCCTGCCCCAGGGCCTTTGCACTTGCTGTTCCCTCCAGCTTGAATGTTCTTTCCTACATATCCACATGGCTCACCCCTTATGCTCCTTCAGGTAACAGTAAGCCATTCTACAGTCAACCCTTTAAAAATGGCAAACCCACCTCCTCCTGGTATTGCTATCCCCTTTCCTGCCTATTTTGCTCATGGTACTACTCACCATCTGACATACCGTATAATTCAATTATTTTTAAAAAAATCTCTGGGTCCTCCAGTAGACTATAAGCATTAAGAAGACAAAGACTTTCCTCATCTTGTTTTGTTCTGTTTTGTTCACTGCTCTACCTCCAGCACCTATCACAGTGCCTGGGACATGAAATCCATTCAACCATATTTACTGAGTGAACCAATCAATTAATTGACAACGTATTAAGTTAATATCTCCTAAGCGCAGATGTTATCCCAGGAGGGAGAAGGGGGATAGAAGAAAGGAGACATGCTGAAAGACTGAATATTTATTCAAAAGAGACTGAATAAACTTGGAAGCCATTTTAAACAAGAAAAAGACAAATATTTAGCAGCTGAGTTTAGGCACAGCCCCTAGGCCTTCTTCTCTGCCCCTCCCTCCCCACCAACTGTCCCACCACCAGGGAGGAAATTCCTGGGAAAGTTTAGATGTGTTATAAATGAATAAGAAGCTACATTATTGTTTTTCTTTTTTGCACACCACAATTTCAGTGTGTTCAATGTTGTTCTCTCAACTGAATACACTACACACTTGACATTGTTATAACAGTTTGAGAAAAGAGGAAATTGACACTATGAGCAGATAAGCTGCTTGTTGGGGGTCACAGAGTTAGAAAACGGTGGGACAGGCTCTAACTCAGATTCTGGGCTTTTCTGTCTACCCCAGGTGAGTGGCGTTTCAGGGCCACAGGCAGACACAAGGACTGAAGTCAGTTTGATTAGGAAATTCACACATTCTGACTGAGCCAACAGCCTTGGGGTGGGCAGAAGCTTCTGGCAGGTGAGAAGGAGGCAGCTCACACTGGCGTGGGTGGAATGGGCGGGTCTGAAAAGGGCCTTTCTCTGCTTAAGCCTGCCCATGGCTCCCTCACCTGGCATTCAAGGCCCATCAAGACCTGGACCTTGAATCCTTCCTCAACTTTACCCCTTGCTGCTCCCCCACCCCATTCTTCCATTTGGTGCCAGTTCCCCAAAGGTACCACGCTCTTTCCCACATCTGGACCTTTGCATAAGCTCAACTCTGCCTGGGACACCATTCCTACATCTACCTCTTCTTTCCTTTCCAATTTCTACTCACTTTGCAGGACTTGGGGTATCCCTCCAGGAGGACTCTGATGACCCTCAGGCTGGGCTGGGCTGTTCTCTCCCGTGTGTACCCCACCCTGGCTTCCCTCTATCACAGTCATGTCACCCTGGGTTGTAAATGCTATTTAATTGACTCTCCGAGGACAATGCCATTTATCTCTGTGGTCCTAGCTCCCAACACAGAGCCTGGCAAGAGATAGCAACAATAAACATGAGCTTTTTTCTTCCATTAAGGTGGCTGCGACCTTTACAAACCCCAGATTCTGGGGACTATTTTGCAAATGGGCCACTATTGACTTCTCTCTCCTGCTCTTGCCCACCCCTTTCACCCTCTCACAGGCTGTGTCACCTGCACATACTCCCTGGAGCCGAGCAGGGAGAGAAGGGTTGGAGTGTCTGAGTGACGGGCTCTGGATGTTGTAGTTGCTACCTGACATCTGACACCTTCTGCTGGCGAGGGCACCTCCTCTACGTGGCCCCGAATGGCATCCTCCCCGCCCTCGGGATTCTCTGACCAGGCCTCAGTCTCCAAATCCTGCCCGCACCTTAAGGAGGTCCAAGTTACCTGGAGTTAGCTGAGACAACAGCAGGAGAGTAGCCAAAATCAGCAAAAGGAGCTTCATGGCTGGAGACGGCCCAAGGTGAAGTGCAAGTCCTGCGTCGGCAAAGCTAATGGGGGCGGGCGGGGGGTGCCTGGTCTCTCCGGCTCGCACTCCCTCTGATCAGGCGGAGCACACGTCACCCACACCTACCCTCAGACGGCCACGGGTACAGCCCCCACGCCCCCGAGTCCACAGTGTGGAGCCACACACCCCTGAGCTCATTTAGGTCAGCAGTGAGGTCAGCCAGCAAGGTCCGAGGTCCCAGACAGAGAACACTTCCTTCCACCCGGCTCTGAACCGCCTCAACTAATGGACCACAAGGGGGCGCCACGGACACGACTGCAGGAGGTTGGGCAGCCTTCGCAGAGAGCACTGTAGGCAGAAGAATGTCTGCACAAAGGCTCATGTCGCTGTTGAAACGAGAAGTGATGTATCTGGAGCAAAAGCTGGGAGGAGAATGGCAGCAGCTGCCCCCCCCCCCCCAAAAAAAAATAGATAATGGAAAGATTGTGTTATTTTTTAATTCTACTTTTCCACGAACTTTTTGAAGTACCCTCGTATTAGTTAAGGCTCCGTCAGGGAAGCAGAACCATTATCAGTATTATGGAGTAAGGAATTGGTTGTAAGAATTAGACTCTATTCAATTGCGGGAGAAGCTAGGAAAGCAAAGATTTGAAAGGGATCAGAGAATAGTCACTAACCAGCCCTGACATGGGTGACTGAACCGAGGAAGCTAATCACGTCTAGGGCTGCAGCGGGACAGCTGAGGGAGCTGGTGCAGAAGCCTGTGGAAGATCGTTGGATTTTCTAGGCTATTGCCGGTTTGTTGCGTTCACAGAGAAGTGTTTAGTGGTGAACCTGAGCACTGAGATCAGTTTGGTCAGCAGCGCTGGCAGTTGAGAAGTAGAACTGTCCTGGAATAGGGAATACTGAGGACAAACCCAAACCTGCAGACACCCCACATCTGTCCCTCACCACCTCTCACCAATAACAAACTTCGGAGCACAATGGCTGCTGCTTCATTTTCTACCTCCCAAATCTCATGAAATTAAAAAAAAAAAAAAGTCATGGCAAACCTTAATGCAATGCCACACAGGGAAAGGAGTTGCAGAATATAATTTCATCCTTGCTGCAAGACATCACAAAACACAATTTTCTTATCTGGGGCTAAGGCGTATGGCAGGTAGGATACATTCTCTCTCACGGAGAATGTATCTGTTGGATTCTTTTCTCCGTAAGAGTAGAGATACTCCCTGTCTAAAGTGCCTGGATTTCTGGAGGATTTTTGTATTGAGGCTGGAAGAGGCAGAGTTGAAAACATTCAGTGACTAGTTCTGACTCTGTTACTTTCTATATGACCTTGACAGAATCACTTTTTTTTCTTGGCTTCAATCTCTCTAATCAAGGATTTGGAACAGATGGGCAGCAGGGATCAACCCACCCATCATATTATATGGTTGTCTAGATACTGAAAAGACACAGAAAGTGGAAGGATGTAGTAATCCACGTAATCAGCCTCAAAATAGAGCAATATAATTGGGTTTTCACCTAAGGATTCTCTGGGTTGCCCTCATCAGCTCCCAAGTCTGAAACACTTAACCCCAATCAAATTCAAAATCAAATTCAAATGACAGTGAGGTATCATTTCTCCAATCAAACTGGCAAGAATATTATTTTATTGTTAATCCTATAATTTTCTAGAATGCAGGGAAAGAGCATCACCTTGATCATGGAAATGCAAACTGGTGCAATCTTTTTTGGAGGGTATTTGCCGATCCCCAAATCCTTAAAATATACATACCCGGCAATCCAGCAACTTCAGTTTTTTTTTTCTTTTTTTTTATAAGCTGGCTGGTACAGAGATCGAACCCTGGACCAACTGAGCTGACTGGCTGGCCCCCAACTTCACCTCTAAGTCCTTGTAGTGGCCACTTGCATGTTTAGCAGCAATTTCCATTTCTTCTAGTGACAGTACCTTAATTTTTCTGTAGGGAGCCAGATCTCCTTCACTCTCAGCTCCAGATATTCACGTGGGGTTTCCCATCTTGCTTTCGGACTTTGCATTCTCCACTGAACTTCCAGACTTATCTTTTAAACATGTAAATTACATAATGTTGTTTATCCGATGGCTATCCTCTGCACTTAGGATAAAATTCTAACTCTTCTCCCTGGCTTACGTGATCTGGTTGCTGTATACCTCCCTGATCTCATCTCATACCAATTTTTCCTCACCACCACTCTGCAGCGTGCTGGCCTTACTTCTTTCCATGGAACATACTAAACTTGTTCCTACTTCAGGGCATTTGTGCTTGCTGTTTCCTTTACCTGAATACTCTTCCTGCTTTTCTTGTGACTGGTTCTTTCCTCCCACTCATGTTTTAGCTTAAATATCAACCTCCTGAGAGAGTTTTTACCTAACCACTCATTCTGATGTCAAAAATTGTCACTCTATATTAATTTTATCAAGTCCCGGCTGTATGTTAGTCCTGGAACATGAACTTTGAAGTCAGACAGACTTGGGTTAAGTTCTTGACCTTGCATTTGTGAACTTTCTGACATTGTATAAATTGCTTAAACTCTTATGGACCTAAGGTTTTTATTAATAAAAAGAGATCTTAATGTTACCTATTTCACTGAATTGTTACAAGGATTAAACAAATAATGTATGTAAAGTGCTTGGGATAATACATGAAACAGAGTAACTTCTTATTGATTGTTAATAATATACTGTAACATTATTATAATCACTTAATAAATCTCAAATGTAGAAATATTGCAGAAAACAGTTTCTAATAACAATACCTGGGATTTTGACTGGGAAGACTTGAATGTTTGGGGTGCTGGGATCTAGAAGGTTTTTCACTGATGTTTGGCACCTGAAGGCTGGACTTAACTAGGGCTGCAACACAGGTGATATTATGGCCCACCTGGCCTTAAATATCTGTACCATCAGGTAGCCTCCATCAGTGTATCATATTCATCTACCACATGTAATTCAGACTATCCCAAGAATCCAAATGTGTGTTTTTAACAACACGATTCACTCTTAAGAGAAGTTAGAGAAAAACAGGAATCCCCCCAATTTTATAGTGGCTAGATTAATCATTAAGGGAGGTTCCCCTTCTGTGTGATGCCCTGGAGGGCTTTCCACCCTGGAGCAGAGCAGTAGTCTGATTTAGAATGGAGAAATGGGATGTAGACTATTGAAATGAGAATTCCGATTGAATTTAGGAAATGCTATGGGAGTAGAGATAGGAAATCGATTTTGTTGCTCCACCCTTGCCTAAGCATCTGTGGGAAAGTGTTCACATTCCTCCAGGGGTGCAAGTATCTCAGTTTGAAGATCACTGACATAGAATGCATGGCCTCAGGGTTCCAGGATTTGTGATTTTGAAAACAAATGTTCCTCATCGATGTATTGGGTACTCAGGGCAGGGAGTATGGTGAGAAAGAGAAGGGAGGAGTAAAAGGGAATATGGGAAACGACAAAGGCAAACTTTGATTGCCCTTCTGATGATTGTCCGTTTGTGAATCTGGTATTACAATAGTAATTTCTAATAATGTGGTTGAGCTGCACAAAGGTATGATGACAATCAGTGCCCCTTCCACCCTGCATGATGAAGGCTCGTGATGAAGATGCTTGGTGACATATGGCCATTGTCTGCAGATCCTGCCAAACAAAAATTGATCAAGATCGAGACCAACATACCTTTGATACAAGAAACATTAAAGGATGCACTTCAGGCAGAAGGGGGGAAAAAACCAAAAACCTCCAAATGGAAAGTTTTAGGTATAAGAAGAAGTGATTAACAAATAAAGTAATACATATAAGAATAAACCTAGACAAATAATGACCATATAAAACAATAACAATGATGAGCATTTAAAGAACATAACTCAGTCAAAAACAACAATAGCATATAAGTAGAAAGGAGGTCTTTGCATTATGGAGAGGAAAGTTTACCCATCCAGTGAATTTTTCAGGTCTAAAATTTTCACTTGGTTCTTTTTTTAAAAAAAGTTTCTATTTCTCAGTTGAAATTTTTCTCTTTTCATTCACTGTGAGCACGTTTTTATTTATGTCATAGAGCAAAGTTGTAATAGTTGTTTTCATATCCTTTTCTGCTAATTGCAACATCTGAGTCATTCTGGGGTTGCTCTTGGTTGATTGTTTTTTCTCTTGAGAATGAGTCACTTTTTTCTTTCTTTGTATGTTAAGTAATTTTGGACTGTAACTGGATGTTATGAAATCCTTGTTATGGAGACATTGAGTTCTCTGATATTTCCCAAAGAATGTTGACTTCTTTGGCCTACAGTTAATTTGGTTAGACTGAAACTGCAAACTGTCTCCTGGGTATCAGCTCAAGCCTTAATTTACTTCTTTTATCGTTAGCTGGCTACATAAAGTCTGCTCTGTGTATGCGAGGTTCAGGGTTTGATCGAAGTTCACACACAGAAATTATGTCTCCCCGTCTCTGGCTCTCTCCTTTCTGGGATCCCCCTCTCACTTTTCAATGTCTGTGGTATTTCAAATTCTGTCGTCTGTTTTTCAGGCAAGAAAGACTGCAGGTTTTCTATCGGAGTTTTAGCTGCACCACATGGTACCAACTGTGGCCTGCTCTGAGACTAAAAACTGAAAAAAGTGGAAAACTTATGCCATGCCGTCTACTTCTTTCAAGTGTCAGTTACCTTTCAGAATCTTTCTGCTTTTGTTCTATGTGCAGTTCCTTCAAGTAACATATATATATATATATACACACACACATATATGTATATATATTTTATATTTTATTCAGAGTTTATAGTTGTTATCTGTGGGAGGTTAGGTCAATTAGAAACTTACTCAGGCATATTGGAAGCCCATTTTAAGACATTAATTTTATTTGTTTATTTTTAGCTTCCACATATGAGCAAGAACATGCAGTATTTATCTTTCCATGCCTGGTTTATTTCACTTAACAAAATGTTTAAGACATTAATTTTAAACTATGACAAATTAAGTATGCATACTAAAATGTCTAGAGTAACCATAAAGAGAATATTTTTATTTATTTACTTATTGAAATATAATTGATTGTACATATTTGTGGGGTACAGCATTGAATATCCATACCTGTGTACAATATGTGATGCTCAAATCAGGATCATTAGTATATTCAACATTACACAATGTAATTGGTTTTTGTGGCCCTTTACTAATTTATCGCCACCTCCTATCCCCCTTTTCACCTCTGGTAGCCTCAGTTAAGA